TTCCAATTTTGGTTAAAAAAAAGTCTTTTGCAATGACTTCAGCAGATATGGAAGTTCAGCAAAGAAGCTTAAGTGCAATAATATCAGTATCTTAACAAGAAACAGATACATGGTGCTATTTCTCTATTTGGAGGGTCAGAAAGGCCCAGGTTACATAAAAAGACTACATCATCAATTCACATAAACATAGCTGCTGCTTCACTGAGTCAGTAGCCTTCCTGTGTAAAACCCAGCCCTAACTGAAACATATGAACAGCATAGTGAGCTTTATTTCTCCCCACCATCTTACATTTCAGATAATGCAAAGGAACATTCTGTATCTAACAATTCACTAAAACGTATCTTCATAACAAGGGAAATATTCACCTTTGTTTCTAACCAGCTTTTTTGAATAATCAAAAGTTAAAGTTTTCCCTTTTGCAGCTAATCTCTTCACACAAGAGATTAATGAGAATTGTAACAGCCAGCCACATAACTTCCTAGGATAAATTTAGTGTTTTTTAAAACATTAAAAGGCTTTTGCAAACACCAGCTATCAGCAGAACCCAAGTTTGCTCTCTTACTACTGTTGTCTTGTACATAAACAATTTGCTTGTTTTTATAGTTTTGTACCATACTTCTAAGAGAAATACGCACACATACACACACAATGTAGTATCAACAATACTGTACACCTCTTAAGAACTCTGAACTAATGCTTTTCAAGAGTTATGACAATCTCTGGCTGTATGAGAGATCAGTTCTGAGGAGGCCTGTCAATTGTAAATCCCATCCTAAAAAATGAAGTTTAAAGGTTGCCTTGAAAGGTCAGGACAAACAGGAAAAAAAAAAAGTATTTTGTTTGTCATCTTGGAAGTTTGGCAGTGACACAGGGTTGTTCTACACTCACTCAAAAGTATTATCCAACCGCATGAAAGCGGCAACTGAAAATAATTATACAGAAAAGGAACTTCCTAAGCTCATCTTTTTCTCCAAACTTAATACAGAGGTATCACTTCATAAACTCAAGAATTAACATTACTAGCATTGCAACTTCCTAGCATTACAATGTCCACTTTGACATCTCAACCGAATAATACAAAGTCAGTCATTCCAAACATACAAATGACAGAACAAATGCAGAATCTGAGAAAGCTTTGCATTTCCTAACTAAAATAAATCTCCTGTATTAGTGAAGTTGCCATGTAATGTTTATACTGAAAATAGCAGCATGTTAGTGCAAATATAACTATGTAATGTTATTTAATAGTTTCTAGTTAAAGTATCATAAACACCTACACTAAGAAAAATTATCAAGTTATTCCAAACTTGTAAAAGTTGAAGATCGCTATTACTACAACTCATAGAAGTAGCCCAAACCTAAAAACATTGTTATTAAGCATTTGGAATTTATGTAGTCACAACAAAATAAACTAAGAATGAAAGCAGGCAGAATAAACACACTCCCATTTTCCTGAGGCCAAAAAGCCTAGCCAACTTCAAAGCTGGTTTCTGGTAATTTTTCATTCCCATAATGAACATGTGCAAGACTTATCTATAAAGACACTGCAGCCTCGTTACACAAGCATTAGAAACTACCTGGCATAGCCATTTTCCTGTTTGCATTCACCCATTGTGCTTTTTCTGCCATAAAGTCTTTCAGTTAAGCTTGTCTTGTGTTATCTACCTCACAACTAACTTAGCAGTATTTTAGACCGAATAAAACAAGCACAACAGGCGAGCATGGTTATTCTTCAAATAAAGTTTACGTGTTTAAAACAATAGCGAACAATCCCAAATAATAGTAGCAAAACAGTAGTGAATAATCCTAAATAAGAGTAGCAAAATAATAGTGAATAATCCCAAATTCTTTATATTTCTCCTTCAACTGCAACAAAAAACCCAAACAAAAAAACGAACTAGCATATAAACGTGCCTTATTCTTAAAAGCCACTTGACCACCTACCCATCGCTGGTTCCCCTGACTTATATAGGATAATAAAATGCGAACATTATGGACTACAGAAGTGAGGAGCAGGAAGCTCCGTCGTCTCGGAGCCGTCAAAATGTTAGCGAGGGAAAAAAAAGAAGAAAATCGGGGGGGGGGGGACGGGACCAAAACCAAACAACAAAAAACCACCCCAACAACAGGGAATGGAGTGAAAGAAACCAGCGAAGAAACCCGGCTGAAACTATCTCCCACTTCGTTATCCACGACTACCAGCAGGGTGGCAGCCCGGCAGCTCCAAAGCACAAGGCCCACTTTTTCAGCGAGAAAGCCCCCCCGGCCCCCGACGGGGGAATGGCGGGGGGAGGCGCGGGGCCGCCGCCG